AATGGTCTATTTTTCATTTTAAAAATCTAATTAATAGACTTTTTTTTCGTTTCATTTTTTTAAAATTTAATTATCTGATACTCAAAATTTTAATCAATTTGATTAAATCAGATTTGCATCATATAAAACTCATTAAAGAAAATTTGTTCATACAAAAAAATATTCTTCATTCACATAGGCTCAAATTCAAAACCTTATAACCGATTAATTAAATTTGCATCATACAGAACCAATTACAAAATGCTTCATACAAATTTGAGGAAAATTAATCTCAAAGGCTTAAACTCTAGACCTTAATCCAAGCGCTTTAATTAGAGTCTACCAAAAAGGGAGAGTTCTAAAGTTCATCGATTATAATAAATACAATATTTTTTTAATGTCAACTTTATTTTATCCTATATTAATTAACACACCTACAAACTTAGAGATATATAGTAAGAGAGACAAAACTCTATATTTCTAGGCTCTCTATTGAGCCAATTAAATTAAAATTTAGACTATGATTTAGAAAGTCGTTGCTTTGATATATTGTGACAATTACCATCGACTAGTAATTTTAGTTGCGATTCATTTTAATCTTTTAACTTTTAATTTATGAAAAACATGTAAGTTCTTGTTTTAATGTGTAATATGTTCATTCATAGAAAAACCAAAGAATTAGAGAAAAAAAAAAAGTTTAGAGAAAAAAAAAATGTTATTTTGGAGGCTGAGAATTGACAATACTTGCACATGTTTTTGCATGGTATATCTAGAAGCATGGAAATATAAGTCAGAAAGGAAAATGAGTGAGAGTGATTTGTAATAAATCTTCAAATGGAAGAAAATTAATAATGTCATATCCATTGACTATTAATCAACTTTATTCCAAACCCTAATGTGAAAGCTTATTTAGCAATAGAATCATTTTTGTACCTTTTTTTTTTGGGTTTAAATCTCCCCACTTTTGGGACCTTCAATAATTATTAGTATAGTAGAATTTGATACCTTACGATCAAACGATGTGGTACAGTGAATGAAGTTGTTTCTTTCTTAATTGGTAGTCTCGAGTTCAAGCGTTGAGTATGGAAAATCCTTGATAAGGAGCATTTCTCCGAATAGGGGCATGTGGCGTCGATTTAGATTAATTAATTGAACTTCAATATGGATATTGAACATCAAACGAGAAACGAATAAAAGAATTTGATCCCTTTACCATGCTTATGCAAATATGCCAATAAAAATTTGATGTGAAATATAATATATGCCTTACATATGTTCTTATATTACCCATTACACTTTGGTACATAAAAACCATATATATATGAAATATAATATTTCTATTTTGGTCATGTTACTCATGAATTCCAACTTCCAATAGATGTACTTAGTAAAGTAAAAATAAATGAATAATAATAATAATAAAAATACACCTATATACGCCCTACTTTCTGTTTTACTGGTCAAGCATATTGAAAATAATTTTTTCTACCTTTTTTTTTTAAAAAAAAAAAATTATCCTTATCATTAAGTTATTATATTTCCCAAAATTGGCGTACTAGTAAACATATTTAAAATTCTAAAAGTATGGAAAAGTAAAAGAAAACGGTGGAAGTAAATAATTTCCCAACTCTCAGAAACTTCAGCATTTTTTCCCTTCGTTTACTTTTATTTGTGAATTTTAGTATATAATATTTTATTTTTAACATTAATTATTTAATCTTCAAATTATTTCTCTAGATCTAAGATTATACATCAACTAATAAGATAGTCTGATAAACTATTCATATTAATTATTAATAATTTTTAGGGAGTGTATAAAGTTTAAAGTTAGACAAGTAAAAGCAAACGGAAGAGAATAGTTGAAACTTTGAACCTAGACACTAATTAATTTATTAATTAATTTCTTGTTGAAAATAATGAGATGGAAATTACGTTTAGGCTTTAATTTGTTTGTGTTTTTTACTTTCATATATCACACCAAATTAACCAAAAAAGACAAAAAAAAATTACATATGAAATCATGCCATAGTTTAGAGTTAATTACTTGTCTATTACGGAGCATAATTATTACTTTAAGCTGCTTTTAGAAAACACCAAATTTGATTAAGACGGCCTTAACTAAGATAATATGAAGTTGTCTATGATAGGGAGCATTTTGTTTTTTAAAATGTAAAAAATTTCGATATGAATTTGAATTAGTCGAAAATCAAAGTAAGTATCAAACATCAGTGGAAATAAGATAATTAAACCAACAAGGTCAATTTGGACTCTCCGACAAATCTTTTCTTTACATCTTAAAAGTGAAAATTTATTTTTTTAAAAGACGCTAAATAGTACTATTATGAAAAATTAATTTCAAATACCAGTAATTAGTCATTCTTTCCCGTCAATTGCTCAAATGCCGCAAATACTTGTGCCCAAAGCCTAAAAACTAATTTTAATGTAGTGGCAGTTCATGTAGACGTAATAAAATATATAGCACGTCACCACATGATTATTGAAAACTAGTACTTCCTTCCTATTATATTAATTAACATGTTTTGCTTTTTAAAAATCAAATTATATAAATTTTAATTAATATTTTAAAATATATTTTTTCATCAAATTATCTTTGAAGAAAAGAAACATAACAATTAATTTAGAACTATATGAATGATAGCTAATCCGTTGACTTTGACTCTTACTAATTGTATAAAATGATGTAATTTATTAAACTTTGACAAATCAAACGCATCTCCAGTTCATAGAATGAATAAATATTATGCCAAACTCATTTTATAATAGTTAATATTTTTAGACAAATTTTACCCTCATATTCTCATTCTCTCCTTCCATTTCAATAATTAGAGACGAATTTAAGATTTTTAGTACGTAAATGTGTACTAGAAAAACTTGTTTGTTTGTGTTGATTAATTCGATATGAAATTTCAAAAATATTATTAATTGACTTTTATTTATATATTTGATTTATAAATAAAACTACACAAAAAAATAGTTTAATGATTTTGTGTATAAAAAAAAAGAAAATTTATTTCTTAACCAATTAATAAAAACAATTAGAAAGAATATGAACGTAAAAATGACAAGCACAAGTAGCCTTTCCTTATAAAGTTATTACCATAAATGATGGTACTGTTTATATACTATTTTTTTCTTTAAATATTCATAATTTAAATTTACAAAATACGATATTTGAGTATGATAGTTACATACAGGGGCGGCTCAACGTAATTTGAGGCCTAAAACGAAATTTTAATTGAGGCCTAAAATCTATATAAATATCAAATATAGTATTTTATTTTTTAAAACTTTTTAAGTGCAAATTATTACTTGATATCTTTTCTTAAAATGTTTTTTTTCGAATATTGTTTTTAATTATTAATTTTAAGTAATATTTTATCAATTCAACATTGAAAAATATTTTTTTGTTGAGGCAATCATTATATAAATTGTTAACATAATACTATAAGTAATAAGTTGACAAGCTTTACATAAAGATAAGAATTAGAACCATAAAATCTGATACAAGAAATTGATAACTTGGTATAAGTTATAACCCTACTTTAATATGTTTATGTAATACTTGAATATTAAAGAAGAAACAAACAAAAGAAAAATTGGAAGTCACTTTGTTGAATTTTTTCAACTATTTATTTATATTTTTGACAGTGTATTACTCTAACTTATCAAAAAAAATTAAAAAGAAAGTGCAAAAGAATTTTAAAAAGATAAATAAAACGAGTGTTAGCGAAGAGAATGTAAACATACAAAATAATGTTTTCTTAATTTCTTCTATTTGATTGGAGTTAAAAATAATAAAATAATATATATTTGTTTAAAATTATACTTTTTAAGTAAAAATAATTATTTTTTAATTAAAAAAATTAACACATAATTTTTTCTTGATGAAAATTTGAGGCCCCCAAAAATCGGGGGCCTAAGGCATGTGCCTTAAGTTTATCAAGCAAGAGTTGGCACTGACTTTATGATTTGGAGCTGATATACCCTCCATTTAAAAAGTGGCTCATATATGCCCTTGTCGTTATAGCAATGACTCATAACATAGAGTACCACTATAATAAATGTCATTGTTCTTATCGATAGCATGTTGTCATAGAAAAGTAAAATATGCCATGCAAAAATGACTCAAGAAAATTAAATTATTATAATAAAATATTGTTATAACATATGGTTATTATAATGAGGTTTATTTTAGTATTTTAGTATAGTATATGATTCTATTTCTTTTATGTAGATTATCAATTAGTACAACTATACCTTGTTGACTTTTTATATTTGAACACTTCTGGACTCCAGTTGTCATTCAGTATAACAAATTTAAATTTAAAAGAGAAACTTTTGGGGTTTTGTACTATAAATCTGAAGTACTCTTATATTTTAGAGGACAAGCAAGAACAATAAGGCAAAAAATCAAAAGGGTAAGTTTTCTACATGCCTCATTCTATAATTTGCTCAAGAATTCAATTACATTCTTTGTAGTCTCAAGTTCAATTATAAAGTTGATCATGGTCATTCAATTAATAGTTATTATCGTATAAAAAATTTATCAAAAAATAAGAAATCACGAAGAAATGTCACTTTTTAAGATGAAATTAACCATGTGAATGAATAATATGTCTAGCTTGAATTAATATACTCCATCTGATAATTAATTATTATTTTTTACAGAATGAGACTCTTAATTATTGAGTTTATCATTTGTTGAAAAAATAATTTAGAAATTGATATTTGAATTTATGTTTAAATAAAATTTATAGTCAAAATATATAAGAAAAAAAATTCTTGTTTTAAGTTAAATAGGAGTGCTAACTATTTTCAAATGGTGGGAAGTTGCGAGATGCAAGAGCATTCGAAGATTTATGAGTTTATGAATAAAATATTTTTCCTTTTTATCATTGTTCAAATGTTCACTTTTACTATAAAAATTATATAGTAAAATCATCTTACTTTGGTTTTTTTTTTTACAAGAAAGTCATTTTTTAATATATTACATCTGAAGATTAAGTTTTTTCAGGATGTGTCTTATAGAAATTGGAGTTGAAGAAAGAGGAATGGCACACTCCATTGAGATTACCTCAATAGATGATCAAATTTCACTGTTACCTCAAATTGAAAATGATGAGGTCTTTCTCTCAACTATATTACAAATTAGTTTTTGAATTTGTTAACCCATTTTTTTTTTGGCAATTAAATATTTAAAAAATTGTGAGAGATTGTAAAAAAAATTAGAGTGATTCTCTTCATGTAATTTTAGGTCTATCTCATGGTCCTAACACATTCACTGGATTATTTTTTATTTGAATCGGATCTGAAAGGGTAAAGAAAATTGGTGAGATAAATTTTTTTCTAACTTATGTGGCATTTTTAAAATTAAAAATTTAATTTTAGATTATTATTTTTTTAATTCATCTTATTAATAAAAAGGGTAAATATACATCATTTATTAAAACAGAGAAGGTAACAAGAGATGTATTCAATCTAGATAGCAGAGTCTGGGGAATATATTTGCCCATTTCCCCTAACGAAATAAAAAGAAATATGTAATATCTTGTTTATTGCATAGTGCTTCTAGTAAACATTTTAAAATTTCTTACTCTTTTACGTTACAGATAGAAGAAAAGAGGAAAGTGGATCATTTAATCAGCATAAATGAAAGAATGGATGAAATGTTTGAGGATTTAGACAAATCATCTATTAAATCGCGTTCCATATTCAAAGTAAACGTGTGGCTACGTGAATCAAATTCAGATGCATATACACCAAAGATGGTATCTATTGGTCCTTACCATAAGAAAAATCCTCAACTTGATCCAATGGAAAAGTACAAACTATTGTACCTGCGACGATTTCTTCAACGAAAAGAGGGGCTTGATGTGAAAAGTTGCATCAGTGAATTGCAGAAACTGAAGGAGGAAGCACTTAAGTGTTACGACGACATAGAAGAACTTGGTAATGATAGTCAATTTTGCCAAATGTTGTTGCTTGATGGTTGTTTTGTGGTTGAGTTTATTCGAGAGCGTTGTGAAATGTGTCCAGAAGGAGAAAACAAAATTATCAATATTAATGATAATTACATATTTCGAGACTTGATGTTACTAGAAAACCAACTTCCTTTCTTTGTTCTCAACCAACTTCATGACATGACAAAGCAAGATGATGAATTACCATTGAGAATATTGGCAAATAATTTGTTTACCTTTTTTGTTGACTTGCCAAAAATGACCCCTGAATCCTTTAGAAAGACAAAATGTAATGAAGAAAATATCAAACATTTACTTCATGCAGTACACATATTTTCATGTCATGGGAATCCCATGAAAAAGTCAAATCATAACAAAAAGAGGCATATGATCATGCCAAATGCAACAGAGCTTTCCGAAGCTGGAGTTAGCTTTGCAAAGATCGGAAATATTAATAGAAACAAAGACAATATTAGGGATATGACGAGTTTATTTGATATAAAGTTCGAAGATGGATTGATGACAATCCCTTGTTTTCAAGTCTGTGATGATACAGAAACATTCTTGCGAAATCTCATTGCTTATGAGCAACAATCATCTGATGTACAACCTAAATATTTCAGTGATTATGCTACTTTCATGGATTATCTTATCGACTCAGACAAAGATGTGAATTTACTTCGCCGAAAAGGAATCATAGAGAACTGGATTGGAGAGGACAAAGAAGTGGCTAGTCTCTTCAATAAAATCGGAAATGGGGTCACTGTTTATTCTACCTTCTATTACAATGAAGAATGCATAAAAGCAATTCAACATTGTGAACAACCATGGAACAGAATGAAGGCAAATTTAAGGCACAATTACTTCAATAGTCCTTGGGCAGGAGCTTCAACTGTGGCAGCCATCATACTCCTCTTGCTCACAGCTACACAGACTGTTTTAGCTTTCACAGGTGCCGTTAAGTAGTAATTATCATGATTGTCTCAATTGTAGTGTTTCCTCACAACTCCATACATGTAATTTGCATGTTGATGAGCTTATGAGTTTTTCATGTCCCCCTTTTGTATTGAGTTTTTATAGTTGAATGCTAATTTAGTTTATTTCAAGTATCTATACATGTCACCTCCTACCAACAACATGTATCCGATAACTTTATCCACTACGCAAGCCAACACATTAAAACCTTCAATATAGATTGGCCCTACCCAAGCACAATGTGGTTTTAAGCACTCGGGTGATGTTTTTAGACAGCAGCTGGCCATATGGTTATTTTGGGGGGTTAAGTTCAAATATTCCAACTGAATTTCTGCCAAAAACATTTACCACAACTATATAGCAGCTACTCGATGTTCGACACCTCTCTTAGGCACTTGAGCATGAAAAAACAACTAATGAACATGAAATGTATATATATGTTAGTTGAACATGATAAAACAACTCAAAATGTGCTTTCGCTAGATCACTCAGATTAATACAAGTCAAATCTTTCATATCAAATCAACCTTACATGTTCTGAACTGGAGATTAAAGCAGCAAGGTTTAGGCTTGACAGAGGTCTGAGTCTAAAAGGGTGCTATCCGTTGCAACTCTTAATCGTCTTCCCTTTCAGGTGGAAGACCACAAGGCAAAAGCATTTTCTGCACAAGCACAAGTAAATATGGGATTGTATGTAATCGTAGAAGACCAAAATCAAGGATGCATACTCACAAAACATCATATATACATCAAATAAATTTGTGATATTCAGGAAGATTCTGTCTTCTACATGAAACAGCTAAGGCTTCCATCGACACTGAAATATTCAGGAAGTGGTTGGCCTTCCAGATTAGTAGCTTAAAAATTATTGCATTCAACAGGTGGTCATGCAAACATCCACAAGTGGGATTATGTCGAGAATCCGACTAGCTTCATGACAACTGCAACTGCATGTCTACTGTAGCCTTTCCGAAAACGTATACAATGGGGAGAAGTCTCCTTTCTTTATATTTTCTGAACAACCTCTGTCCGTTGAAATTTTTTAAGTGGCAACATAGCAAAAGAAGTTGTGTTTAACAAGGTATAACCTCTAAGAATAACAAGAAGAGAAACAGGTAGTCTAACGGGAGCTCTACATCACAGTAGTTAAGATTTTCACAAGATAGTCATTTTTCAAAACTTCTACCTGAGGAAGGTTGTACCACCTAGTATATACTCACAAAAAACTCTATTTTTGAATACTTCAGTCAAAAGGACTTCATGTTTTCTTCCTTTCCAAAAAATGTGCCTTCCACATTAGATGTAGCTACCCTGTGTTACTTACTACTACAGTTCATATCTTTCTGTTATCTTGATCACTTGATGATTTCTAACAAACAAGTTGACTATATTTAGCTTTTTTATTATTGAACTTCATCATTTATACCCTTATTATCAGCAAACATGGATATGTTTGTTTTCTTGGGCTAAAAACTGGACAAAACTTCCATTATTAATCCAGAGAACAAACACTTAACTCATGACTCCACACAAGCATATGAAAATGCAATAAATCCATCTGTTTTGATCAAAACCAAATATGCTTTCTTTTCCCAAAAGTAAAAAAGAAAAGAGAGCAAACTATACAAAAAAAAAAACATCACTTCGTTTCGACACTCACGGAACGAAATTCCCAGGTACAACTACACAGAAAATGAAGATGAGTACCACAAAAGAATACAATACAGCATAAAAGGTCGAAGTATGTGCGCATTTTGGGTCGCTAAGGAGTTATAAACTTGCGCCAAATATGTGACAACCTTTTTGTAACGATCTTTCTAAAGCTATTGCTGAATATTTAGTTACCTAGTAGCCTCAAATGAGTCTTAGTCTTTATATTTAGTTACTTACTAGCCACGTCTAAGAAGCCATCACTCTTGAGCATCCTTTAAATGCACAATGTAACACATGGTAGTCAAATCCTAAAAAAGCACTAGAAAAGCTTGCATTGAATGGCTAAATACTTTCACTGGAAGAGGACTTTAAACAAAAAAGGGCATCAAGAAGTGCTACAACTTGTTCTGCAATGCAACCTATAGTCTTAACATCAAAGCAGCAACTTCCATTAACTAGTTGGTGAATAGAACGCAGAACTGTACACTAAAAGCAGTTAAAACCCTGCCTTATCCAAGCCAGCATATTAAGATCTAAAAACCAAAGTAACTGCAAAACAAGATAAGCATCTTTAACAAGCACAAACCTGCATAAAATTGTAGCGCTCTCTTCCAATTGATTCATTTTCTGCAATGGCAAAATACGCCAACATTGGGTAGTGTCCAACATAAGATGCGTAACTGTCACGCTGAATGTTCACTGCCCACTCACTAAGACAAATAAAGAAAATCCAAAACATCAGTATTTCCAAAGTTATTAGACTAAAATAATAAACTCTAAACATAGTCGATAAATGTCAAACAGAGACTATAGATAATCCACCTACAAAACCATAGTTAGAATAAAGAACCTCAATTTCAAGGAAAGCAGAAATAGGTAATTACAAACATGCCAAAACAACACGTGACATCTTGTGATTCAGCAGTTCATAAAGAGGGCTCTCCTTCCTTGGAAAATCATTTTCTAGAAATGTGACATCATGATTCAATTTCAGTAATACTTCCATCTTCCAATTCACTAATAAATACATACCCTTTGGAGTGTTCTAAGTATCTTATAAAGATACATTTTTTAAAAGTCACTTTATTTAATATGTAGGGTGCAGTCAATAACACATTTTTCCGGAAGGAGATGGGTAAATTTGCTTTCATGTCCAATAGTGTTCTATTCCTCTTTTTTGCTACACCACTTTGTTGAGGTGTGCAAGGAATAGTTAACTGTCTAGCAGTGCCTTTTTCATTACAATTCTTCAAATTGTCTTGATATATTTTCACAAACTTCATCGATTCTTAAGGTCGTTATCCTTTTGTCTAATTGATTTTCAACTTTGTTCATATATTCTCTAAGGCATTCAAGTGCTTCAGATTTATGAGAAATCAAACAGAAATAACCAAAACGCATGAAAACATTCAAGTGCTTCAGATTAGACTTTAGAGATGGTTACAAACACCATTGTGCTCAGAATGGAATGATGAATAATCAGCCCTAAATGCATACTTGGAGAACTAAGGTGCCTACCAAGGTGATTTGCTTCACCTAGTTAGCTCTAAGGGGGTATGTCTCACTCATAAAAACTTCTGCAAGAGGAAAATTGTTCTACGAAACAGATGCTACATGTGCCAATAGTATGCAGAAAGTATCAACCATTTTTTCCTTCATTGTTCAATTGCAAAGGATATATGGAGCCTCTTCTATTCTATTTTTGGTCTGAAATGGGAGATGCCACAAACATTAAATCCAGTGTTAACAAATGTAAAAAACGTAAAGAAAAGTTCTAAGGTTCGTTGGGGCTTCAAGTGCAAAGCACAAATAAAGTATGGGATCTAATGAAAAAAAAGCGCAATTGGAGAAAAATACAAATATTTATGTTTAGTCCAAGACTAATAATTATAAGCATGAATAAAAAATATATGGACAAAGAAATTGAAAAAAATAACAATAAAGTAAAATATTAATTGTTTAATGTCGCCTTTTCGGGAAAGACTCATTGTCAAGGAAAAATATTTCTTAGAACCTTGATGACAACACTGAAGCGCACATTAAGCGAGGCAAAGCGCTCAACCAGGCTAAAGCACGCTTTAAGCGCACCTTTGAGAACACTGTTAAAGTTAGCCTATGAAAGCTAGTGCTAGTTAGTGTTTTAGGGGAGTTGACAAAGCCATCAAAAAGATCTGGAGAACGATACCAGTAGTAATATTTTGGTGTATTTGAATGTAAATAAATCAAAGGTGTTTTCATAGCATCTCAACTCCAACCTACTCCCTCAAGGCTAAATGCCTTACTTAATCTTTTCAGCTAAAACTATCTCACCTCTATATTTTGAATTTCATTAGCTCCCTCGCCTTAGTATAGATCCACTTGTTATGAACCTAACTACCTATTTTTGTCTACTTTCTTGCATCTTTTTATGCCTTTCAATGAATTCCACTTACTTCATCAAAAACAAAAACTTACAATCGAGTCAAGTCGGCATGTCCTGTTCCAACGTATTTAGCTTGCAAGTGCTCAAGCTGGGAGTTGATATTGAACCTATCACTAGCCTGCATCGAGAAATTAAACACACTTTAATCACATATTCATCCAACAAATTAAAAAACAGAAAAACATTTCAAACAAAAAAAATAAACTAGGGTTCTGGGTGGGGAAAAAATTGGGTCTTGGTGGAAGATAAAAATAATCAAATTTATAACCAAATTGAAATTGAAATTGAAACTGAATTTGAGGAGTTTAACAAACAACAACAACATATCCAGTATAATCGTAACAAGAATAGAGTGTACGCAGATCTTATTTCAAGTAATCAAAACTGAAATTGAATTTGAGGAGTTCAACAAACAACAACAACAACATATCCTGTATAATCCTAACGAGGATAGAGTGTACGCTGATCTTATTTCGAGCAATCGAAACTGAAAATATGAAAATGTTACTACTAATTTATGAATTTACCTGCATTTTTTGCACAGTTGAAAAACAGAGAGCGATGATTTAGTATTGTAAAGGACTTGAAAGGGGAAAGGGGAAAGGGTTACAGACTTACAGTTTCGGTATATTTATAGAGCTGGGCTTTATTGGCGGCAAACGGGTTGGTTCATAGAACAATCCGACCCGTTTGATCATAGAGCTGGGCTTTATTGGCGGCAAACGGGTTGATTATCTCAAATTTTTTATTTTATTTGAAAATTTTAAGTTGAATTAAAAGTTGTATATCAAATTTAGAAAATAACTTATAAAGTATCTTTTTATATTTTTATAAAAATGAACCCATTAATTATTAATTCATTATTCAACTACTAATAATTTATCTACCCAACCAAAATCTAGTTTTTGAACAAGTTGTTTTCTTGTTTAATGGCTTTTTCTTGTGGCTATGTTTATGCTTTAAAAAAAATCACTATTGTGTTATTGAAATTTTTATTATATGTTTTTGGATAATATAATATCTAGTTCATTTGTCAAACAAATACCGAGTAATTCTATTTAATATCCATCAAAATTTAGACCAATGGGAAAAAAATTTACAAAAAGTTATTTACAACTCTAAAAAATGAGACAAGCAACGTCAATCCTATAATTACTATTGTTGTAGTTATCAAAGTATTTGGGGGAATCGAATAGCTAATCTTTAGGGATATAAATAATAGATCCTTATAGATAAATCGAATTGCATAACTATCAAGTGTTTACTTTTCCTATCAAATGTTTATCGAAACACAGTTCAATTATCAGTTGTTCACTTTTCCTACTTGAAACATCACCATCATTAAGATAGGAAAAGTGAACAACTGATAGTGTTTCGATAAACATTTGGTGATTGTTTAAATTAGGAAACTCGCACACCTGATAGTTCAAAAATGAAACTCAAAAAACTGAAATATTTTAGGCGTGTTTTTGATCCTTCACTCGTCACCCTGCAACAATTAACCTCCCATGATATCACAAAGATCTGGCTATGGTTTAGCAAATTCACATCCTATTGAAACATTGCAGCCTGCAGTTATCAACTCAAAATATGTACCAAGTCTCGTAGGGAAGTGAGTGAAGTACTCTGACAACAAGGAGTATATTTTCAGAAGCCTCATTACCATAAGTGACTTCTTGAACAATAAACTGATTTCTGGAGTGTCGTTCCTCGAGTAAGAATATGGTTTTATTGAACCCTTGGGTAGTAACGTTGCAGAAAGTAACCGTAAAGAGGCACTTCATCCATCTCGACTGAAAAAAGCATATTTGCAAGGGCTTATACCGGCAGCCTAAGCACTACATAGAGCTTGTCACCTGAAAGCCAACTCGTATGGCTACTCTGACCTTCCAGCACTTCTCAGAGAAAACACAAAAAAAGGTGCTTGAAGCAGCAGATGGCTAATGATCTATCCTTACGCCAACATAATCGCCAGCTGCTGGCCCTGAGCTATGTGGAGGTCTTGAAAAAGAACTCGAACAAAGTTGAACCAGCATACTGGTTTTTTTTTCTAGCACGATCACATTGCAGAATCTTCTATTAGTCACATTTGCTCATTACTGCATGGCAAAGTGGGACAGCAAAGTGGATAGACTTAATTGCATCGACAATTACCTCCATGCCTATTTGACGACTGCCTTTGACAAGTACGACATCACCACTATTTAGATCATTGATAATTTTAGAAGTCATCTGGTGAGCATTAGTAGTGCACAACAGTTTTATCTCTGGCCCAAAGTCTATACTCCCAGCTGCACTTACAAACCTTGTTCCAACAAGTGCAACTATGTCAAAGTGAGCATCGCAGCAACTCTGTAGCATCAACTCATGAAACTTGAATTCTGTTGGACCAAGTTCAAGCATGTCTCCGAGTATAGCAACTCGTTTACCTTTGCAGTCAATGTTTCTTAACAAGTCAATTGCAGCTTGAGTACTAGCTGGACTTGCATTGTAAACATCATTTATTATTGTAATCCCATTCTCGGTTACTTCAAGTTCTGATCTTCGGTGAACAGGTATAAATCTGGATAAGGAATTTCCAGCTAGAGCAAGAGGAATGCCAAGAGCACTAGCCACAGCAGCAGCTGCACATGCATTAACTGCCAAATGCAAGCCAGGACTGGAGATTATGAATTTAACCCTGAATATTTACCAACATGTCAAATAAATAGAACTGTAAATACTAGTAAATAACAGTGGATCAATTGTTGTAATGAATAACGCAAGTTATTTGTGTTTCAGATTAAAATAGCCTAAATGAAAAAGGCATTTCCTTGATAAGACAATTTCTAAGAATATTTCGTCAACCCAAGTTCTTTAAACTGTGGTAGTACTGACCTTGCACATTGAAATTACAGAAGATATCTGTTTTAAGAAAGTAAAGTTCATTCTGTTCAAGAATAGCATCCAGAGTGTAGCACTAACAACAAATGTAAAAAATACAAAAGTCTCTTCTCTATTAGCTATGCTCGCGCTTTCTATCTAATTAATAACATCTAAGTCCACACCAAAGAGACAAGAGATGAAGGCAGGGCTGCTGGTAAAAGCGCTTCCAGATAAAGAACACACAAATATATAAAATTTACATCAATAGCAGAAAACCATATGTTTACCACAATTTGGAAAATAGAACAAGATTAGAGGATCATAAAAGTTTAGTTTTCTGAAAATGTTCAAACCAAGGTGTGTAATAGTTCAAGTTTTGTACAAACACGAATAGAATGCTCTTAAGAATGATTGAAGGAAAGTTTTGATGAACTTACGTCTCGTTGAATCCCTCTAGAACAATTTGTATTCTCCGACCTCCGTCTATAATTTGTGAAGAAACTAAACGAACATCACAGCCCAACTTTCGACCAAATACCACCTTGAGCAAGAGCGAAAATGAAATCAAGAAATATAACCAAAAGTAGACTCCCAAGCCAAGCCATCATAGTTTCACAGTATATAAAGATAAAAAGCAACAGAATTCATGTTTTTGGCCTCTTATCTCCTAATGTAGAACTGTATCTAACAAATAACAAGGATGTAATGAGCTAAGTTGCTAGGACTCACTCGTGTCGACACGACATGGGTGTGGCATCCATACAGGATTTGGTCAAATTACCTCGGTGCTGGACCAAATCCACTATGGATCCCATACCCTTCACTAGGTGCACATTAATGAGATTTACTATCAAAAACATCTAAAATTGGAAGAAGTGTTCTCTGTCCTTTCATATGCAAGATTCAAAGTAAAAAATTTCATTTCAAGATTACCTACCAATACTAGAATGCAAGGAAAGAACAGTGGTATCTGCATCGCATGTAACTCTTATCAGCTAGTTCAGACGCTGAGAACTAATTCAGTGACCAACACAAAAGAAGCTTGATCACAAACAGTGGTGGAGACACCTTGTATCCAATCAGCATCCCCTTCGCTGAAAATTCACACTGTTTAGATAGCTAAATTTTCTTTTAATGTATATATACTACATATGTTGAATCCCAGCTTCACCACCAATCACAAAGAATATCAATATAAAGAACAATTTTAAAAAAACTAAACAGTAGTCACCTTCTTAACTCCAACTGGAACTGGGAGGCTCATGACAAGGGGATCATCACCATTCAATACACACACATGCCCTGGCATTGCTTCTCTTAAAATCTCCCCTTTCGCCACGGAAACCTCCTCCAAGTTGGCAAAATTCTCCAAATGTGCAGCATTCACATTTAGAATCACCCTTACATCTGGTCTACACATCCTGGACAGCTCCAAGATCTCTCCTTTCTTGCTCATCCCCATCTCCAAAACCCCAAACCCCACATCCCTCGACATCCCAATAAGCGATAACGCAACCCCAATCTCGTTATTCCAGTTCCCTGGACTATAATAAATAGCTCCAACACTCTCCAAAGCCAATGCCACCATAGTCTTTGTAGTTGTCTTCCCTACACTTCCTGTTAAACCAATTAAACAACCAGTAAACATGTTTCTTGCATAAAAACCCAATCTTTTTAAAGAACTCATAGTGTCTCCCTCTACTTGTACAAACCCATTGTTCCAACCCTCACAAACCCAGTTCCCAATCACTCCAACACACCCTTTTGTGGCTAATTTAGAGGTAATGAAATTGTGGGCATCAAAGTTTTGCCCAACAAGAGGGAGAAACCATTGTCCTGGTTCAAGGGTTCTGGTGTCCGTACAGATTGTTCCAGGTGGACCCCACTTGATGATTCTGCCATTAACAGCCCTGACTATCTCTGAAATGGTCCAAAGAGGAGAATTTGATGAAGAAGAAAATGTAGCTTGAGGAATCAAGATTCTTGGTCTGCTTGGTAAAGTGAAAATGGTGGTTTGGGGTTTTGCTGGATTTGTAAGTGGGAATACAGAAGAATGAAGTTGAATGGTCAGTGGACTCATTGGAACAATGGAAACAAGACAGCAGAGAAATCTCTGTTTTCTTCAACAAAAAACTATTTCTTTCTCGTATGATGCATAAATCTGCCCTTACCTTCAATTTGGATATGCATAACTAGACACACGTATTCTATTTGGTGTCCTACATCACAAGTTGCATTTTACGTGACGTCCTAGGTGTATTATGCTAGGTAAGACGTGTGTAAATTTATTTAACTCTATATAATTTTAAGTGTTTACTTATGCACATAAAAGGTCAAGTTAAAAGTCATATTTATATATTATGTCTCTTTGTCGGAGAAATATAGGTTTTTCACATATTGTACCTTGTGCATATTTGATTGTACCTTGTGCACATATGCTTGTACCTTAAACTGGCTAAGTATTGTTTTCTTTTAGGTCTTTCACCTCAATTTATATAGTTAACAAAAAAATTGATCTTTGATTTATAACTGAATTTTTGATTCATACCATATCTTATAGTATTAGTTTAGATTATATACAAATATTTCTTGAATAGTATTTTTTGCTTACGTTCTAACACACAAGAAATAAGTAACAAACAACTTGTTTTTCTGGAAAACATTTTCACCCTTATTTTTTCGGGTCTAAGGATCAATTTAAAATTTTAACTAAGTTGTAATCTATCACTTTTTCTTGTGTAATGTGGGTATAAGAAATTTAAAATGCAAGAAAGGAAGACGAAAGATTCATTACAACAACAAGGATATACCCAGTGTAATCTCACAAGTGGAATCTGGAGAACATAGTGTATACACAACCTTACCACTACGTTGTAAAGATTCACGGTAATATAATCTAATATCATATTGCTCTTACCACTGGATCAAAGTCTTGAGTGAATGCTTATGTGACATTGAGAAATAGTATTATTCATGCACCATTGAAGAAGATTGCACAAACATGAATAAGCACAAGACTTTTTAGTTTGCCTTTGTACACTTATTGTTTCTAAAGAAAATGTCACTAATGTGTAGATGTGTGTTTCATCGTAAGCATCGTTGGGCTCGTGTTTACAGGTGCACCAGCAACCACTGCTCCTGGAGTTGGAGGTTGGACACCGTATGATTTGTATGGTGGAGAAAGATTCACTGTTGTACCATCTGCAGAGGTGGATGTAGTGCTGAACTTATGGTTTCATCCGAAGCCAGTAGTAGCTTTGGCTCGAATTTTGTATGTGTTACAAAGTTACCTAGATAAGTACCCAGAAAATCAAGATTGGCTGTAGTAAAATCCCAAACTCGAATCCATAATGTCCAAATCCTGAATCTTCCTCTGATCAACTACGTTAACAAGTGGTCCTGTTACTGGTTGTCCGATGGTCGTTGTTCCATATATGCCAACTCCAATGGGAGCAATTGGTGCTGTTGGAGATTGTTTGTTGGATTTGCCAGAAGAACCAATTGTTTGGCCAGTGATTGGAACTTGAGGTACTGAGACATCTCCATTATTAACACTAGTAATGTCATGTATACTTGTTCGTCTTCTATCCTTGTTCATCGAGTTTAAACGTATGAAATATTTTTGGGCATGACTGGCCACTTGCGTAGGAGTTCTTGTCACAACAAAGTTTCTAGAAATGCTTCGCCAATCACCTTTCCCATATTTTTCCAGTCCAAGAAGGAACAATCTGCATACCAACAAAGATGCAGCAAATGAAGAAAAAGTCAGTCAGTACAAAATATCGGAAGGATGTTAAACGGTATCTAGAATGCAGAAGATTTAAGTAAGAATATGCATCTTCAATTATTTTCTCTGCAACCGTGGTTCTTACGGCCAACAAAATGAGAAGTCCAACTACTACAAACAAGATCCAGTTTCAGGAATTTCAAGAAGTACAACGCGCAATTTAGGATGAAAAAGGTGAATCAAGTGAACCATTGTTTGATTAAGATGCAGGTAGCTTGAATTGCACAAAGAAAAGCTCTAGGGATTAGGAAAAGAAACATCAATCTGTAATTGCTGTCTTATGCATAAACAGAAATCTATAAGCTGAACATTCAGACTCGCGAAAACCCCTCATGAATCACTTAGAATGTTTCTCTATCGACCACATCTCCCATCGAAAGAGTATTTTCTGAAAGTGACAGCAGGATAATACAGTTTAACAAATGTCTGGCAACAGCTTAGTTAGTCCTATGACTTCATGAAGTACACCCTCATAACGACAGTCGACAGTCATTACCTTTCCAAGCAAAGAAAGTTTTCGGCAGAAGGAGCATAAAGCTAAGTTTGATAAGATTATATTCACTGAAACATGAAGGTTAAAAAAGTACCACTACACTATCCTAAATGACATGTAGCAACCTCAAACACGAGGTATGAACACTTGAGTTTCTTACAAATATACTTTTTTTTCTTATCTTTTGAGGAGAAATCAATAGTGTTCTGACTTACCCGACCCTAAACCTACCGGATGATGGTGGAGGTGCTCGACCACTTGAGCAAGCCTCACTTGTCTCAAACAAATATACAATAAACAAGCTTAATATTGTACTGAAATAACTGAAGTTCAACGATTACTGACCTGTGCTCATCCTCCGTCCAAGCAACCCCTTTCCGCCGGTCCTGCTCCAACTTAGTAGATTTACCTCCATCATTTGACTCACTGTTTAACCTCCCTGAAACCCCACTCTTCTTGCCTGTTGTTTCACCACCACCATCATGACACAAAGACCTGTCAAAAGTAGAATTATAGCCAGGCAAAGGAACATAACCAGACTCGATCCGGCTCACATCATCGAGTAAAATTTCATAATGATTCTTAATCTCTTGTAAGGTTTTCCCTTGAACATCAGCTGCAATTTTCTCCCACCTATCTACACAATCCTCAGGATAAGTTGCTAATGCATTTTCAAATGCTATATCTTGCTCTCTGCTCCAAATTGAGCTTCTTGAATTATCCACTGTCATTCTTGAATTCACTATCACGCTTTTTCAGTGAAACATTTTATCAAACAAGTACTATGCACTCCCATAGAAAATCTTGAAAATTCATTTCTAAGCACATATATATACACCAGTACACCACCACAATAACTACGCCTCAGTTCCAACTAGTTGAGATCAACTATATGAATCCGATTTAAATTTATCTCAAGTCAACAAACATTATACATAAAAAATAAAGTATATATGCAAAAATATGATTAGAAACAATGTATTAGACCAATGAGGTAAGTGATAATAGAAACAAAAGGGTTCAAAAAATAGAAAAATATACAGTTGAGCAACTCAAATAAATATTACTGGGTACCACATAATTATTCAAAATTTTGACATTTTTGGATTGGTGACCCTATTGATTAAAAAGGGCACCAACTTTATTGGAAGACAGAGAAAAATACTACAACCCTCTATCTACTTTTAATTGTCATGATTTTATTTTCTAGAATCAAAGATTAGTATTTAAATTAACATATATTTTTCATCATATTGATATGTAAAAAATCACAATTTATAGTATTTTTTGTATAGTTTTTGAATATTTAAATTTTTTGTTTTAAAATATCGAATTAATGTAATTTAATTTCACTTTGTAAATTAATCAAATTGACTTTCAAAAAGCGCAACATGACAATTAAAAGAGGACGGAGGGAGTAGTTTTAATAGCTACATTGTTGGTAATTCTCAAAAATGATATGGTGGATGTTCGTGTATTTTTAAAGGATCTGTCATAATTCAATGGTAACTAAGGTTGTGGATTTCGGGTATTTGAGGTTTATAAAGGAAATAGATAGCTTTAATAGCTATTTTGTTCGTTCTTTTCAAAAATGATATATTGAATGTTCGTGTATTTTTAAAGAATCTATTATAATTCAGCGGTAATCAAGGTTGTCTATAAAGGTTGATGAGATTAAATGAGGTTATTAGTAGAATAAGCTGGGAAAGAGCGACTAAGTGAAATTTCAGTGGAGTTTTGAAAGAACTTAGGCATGAAAAGGTTTGAAGTGGCTGGCTGAGTTGTTTAATGTCATTTTTAGGAAATGAAGATTCTCGAAGAATGGAAGTGGAGTACCATTACTATGTTGTGCAAGAGTGATATTTAGGATTATAATATTATAGGACTAAGAACTGCATACACTCTATCCTCTTCAACAGTGGCAGATGTTTAGGACAACAAATATGTCCAAAGAATGAAGTTGTAGTACAATGACTACGTTGTACAAGAACAAAAGTGATATTAAGGTCCGGCTCACTATATTCCCAAAAAAAAATGTAATATTTGGAATTTAAACTTGACGTGAATTTTAAATTTTTCAAACCACTAAGTCAGTCTCTACTTTATATTTAGCGAATTCAGAATCCCTATATATGTCTTTAAAAAATTACCTTATATTTATAGTGTATGTGTTTTTAAGAGGTTCGGATGAACACTCGGTGGGACCCTAAAGTTATTCTTATTTTCTAGACTCAACTCATGAAATTATATTGAATATATTATCGTAGCTAGATTAAAGAAAAGTGGGGACTGCAATGAATGAAACCAAGAAAAAAACCAAAAGCAGTATTCAAATAATCATCAACAGGCAAAAATCCCATGTTGATAACAACTGTTTTGCCAGTAGGCAGTAGTACAGGCCCATAAAGAGCAGTATTTTTCTTTCTCCTCTAACTGCAGTAAAACTAACCTTTTCTTTTTACAGCCAATAGACAGTAACGTCTACACTAGACGTGGTATGATATATATCGAATTATTATATCATATTGAAATTTTTAATATCGTAGTTTTGATATTATGGTATATATTTTAAATTTTTTTGATATTCGGCATGGTATTTGGTATTTAGAAATAATATACTGAAATATCAAATATCATATCGAAGTATATAACAAATAAGCAACATAGTATGTTACAATTGAGACCCATTTTTTTTGTATTGCTGAAGTCATAAAACTCTATTATACAAGTAAATATTGGTCGAAGTTGAATAAACTATGACTACCGATTTATCATACCACAAAATATCAAAATCGGACTTCAAAATACCGAATCATACAACATTAAATTGGTATAGTAATAATATAATAATTTTAGAAACTG